TTTCTTGTGTCTGCCGTATAAATATTTAAATATAAAAATGCGCACGTTTTGTTAAAAAGTTACTGGCGTACATGAGGATGAAATGGTGTCTATACGTGACCAAATATCGATTGTAATCAGAAAAAACAGAGAAGAAGACTGTATCTGCATTGCTCACAATTATTTATAACATTTCCTCAAACACAATCGCCAAATTAAATATCGTGTAACTGTGCCCAATCAGAAGGATATCAAATGTAACAGTGAAAGGAACAAACTAGAGACAAACATTCCTCAAATAACAGAACATCTTCAGCGCAGTTCTTGGACGTCAAAAGAATTTGTGCATTTCAGAAGTCTGCTACTCGTGATCTCATAGAAGACCTACTGCACCCCCAAATTAATATCCGCCTTCTAGAAGGAACTACAAGTGTGGGATTTATTCGCATTTGCTAAAGTCTGTCTTGATCTGTGCCTCTTAATAAGTAAAGAAAGAGAATACCGAATTTTGGAATAAAAAATTCCCCTATAATAAACGAAATAACACAACGTAAAGTCAAAACTATTTATTTTATGTCCCATGAAGACAAGAAATTTAAGATAACACTGACAGTAAATGTATTCAGTAAACACTGATCTGTAAGTACTGAGGAAAACCACGAAATTCCTCAGACAGGTTTTGTAACTCCAGAATACAAATACAACCTGCTTTGTAAAGCAAGTTTTCGGCGACACAAAGAATTCTGGAAACAACTTGTGGTATACACTTGCATTTTTCATCATTGCATACAACGAACTTAATAAAAGAAACATTAATTAGTATCTAATTGAAAATTCAACGGGCAATAGTGTATTTCGTAGCTGCAACCCTCTTGGCTGCGCGCTCTTTGCTTCAGGGTCGGTAAATAGATCTGGGACACAGCACTTGAGTAGCAACGCCGAGCAGAAATGTCTTGCTGGATACACATTAAGAAAATAAAGGAAATGAAAATATATGAAAGAAACCAACCAAAGCAAAGGAAACAAGTTCGCCATTTGGATAAATAACTCCACAGAGAGACCTCTACTGTCGGCCAGTGCCAACTATTGTTAAACAGAGCCCTGACAGCAAGAAAACCTTAAACACAATGCATAGCTGGGTTGGCAACCCGCATTCTCTTTTCATCCGGCCGGCGTGACGTTGTACAAATTTAACATATTATTTACCTCACGACTGTAATTTATTTGATTTGTAAAATATCAAGGTATTTTACGAGAGATTTCAAGGTTCTCACGGTGACGAATTTTAAGACGATTTCTTCTGGAACGTTAAGCCGCATAGTCTGGTACAATAATATTAACGTTTTAGATGTAATTATTGGTTCCATCATCAGGGAGATGAGAAAATGACATTTTGTGTTTGTATGCATATTTTATATTCCAATACACTACATGGTATGCAAGGTGTTGGTTGCACAATGATAAACACATCTTATACATGGAGCTACAATTTTGATCTTGTAGGGGAGTGAGAGAATTTAAAGGTTATAAATTATATCGTGTGGAACATTTCAGATAACAACAGATGACGACGCCGCCGAACGCTTTGTGTCCGCTTCATGCAAACAATTCTTAAAATAATTAACAGATTACAACAACTGAACAAATACGGTATTATCAGTTTACGTCACATTGCTCCTAATAATTTTCAACGCTTTCTACTGACAAAGTCTGTGGTTTAGTACATGCAACAGAGAACTGTTCGTTAGCACGGATGCTGACTGGCAATTGTCTCAGCAGTCGCGCTAACTTCAGACGTCATAATCGCCTCCACTTCTACAAATTCATCAGGGAAGTGGAGCTGGATATTCCAATTCAGTGTTACTATAGACGCAGACATTCAGCACATAATAACACCAACACAGATGCTGCATCCGATATGAATATTCCGCTGCAGAGTCGTAGAGCGCAGATTCATATTAAAAGCCACTCTGGCTGACGTCAATGTTGTCAGATTAACAAGATTATGCACAGGGTCTCGAAGCCAAATTCGAAACCCAGCAAGAGACTTCATTAGAGTATTGTTTTCACCTCCTGTTAGTTCCCTTGACACCTTCCGGGTTTCCTTTGCGAAGTGATTGGCAGGTCACGTAGATGTTCAGGGTCAATTTCTGAAGTTTGAAAATCAGAGTCATACTGCAGACCACAATCTCATTTTGAAAACTACGACCTAATATATCGGAATGATGACAAAATTACATGAACAAGTTAGCAAACATACGAATAGCACAGCAATTCAACCGCGTTCGCCGTAACTTGATCTTTGACCTTTCAGAATGAGGCCAGAGACGTCAGAGTTGTCTGATGTCAATGATTTTTGCGTCGGCAGAGTTTTCTTGTCGCCTGCCCGGCCGGGTGATTATTTCACGTAAATTTTCCCAGGGAAATTCCTCCACGTAGTTGAGCGGCTGACCGAGGATTCCCCCATCCCATCCATTCACTTGTGTGCGCTCAGAAAAGCGCGTTGCTCTTAATGAAACTACCGAATGTAATTAAAACTGAAACGTGTCTTGAAATTTTTGCAAAGCTTCCCAGCATCAAATTTTATGATCATCCGTTCAGCGGTCTTCAGCTTTTGCTGACAGACGGAGAGACATGGCAAAGGTAAAAGACACATTTTTGCGACTCTTAGCTACAGCCTTGCTTCAAAAGGATGCATTTGTTTATAAATCATTAGAACGGATAAGAAAGCACGTAGAATGCATTGCTTAAGCCTTCGGACTCAGACGCGGCATTCATTAACCCATTCACCCACAGCCACAGTCATCCATCCAACCATTCACAAATACTAGGAGGTCGATACAACTACATCATAATCGTGTTCAGTAGTGAATTTTGATATCAGCGATGTTTAAGCCTCGAATTATGCTATGAGACTGTTTATTAGCCACTAATGGCCATGTATGAATAGGGATAATTTAATTAGGACGTTCCTATACCTACGCTGCTGAAATATAAGAGAAATGTTTTGTGTTCGTGCTGCGGGTCACAAATTGCGAACCTTTTATTCTCTCACGGATGTGTCTCATATCTGTAATGTATCCGGAAGAACGATAAATCAAGAGTGAAGTGCAGGTTTCAGACAGCTTTGGGTCCCCAGACCGACGTCTCGCAATCCAAATCTTGAGATAATTTCATCAGAAAAGCCCGTGGTCGCCTATTGTGAACTCTGGGGTTTTCGATATTCCTTGAAAGGCGTTACAGAAGACAAAAGGGTGACAGATCTCATTCCACAGTTCGTCTGTAAGAAGGCTTCAGCCCGAAAAGTTGCTGTCTTCCGATGATCTATTCCTACAGCACACATTATTTCAGGGCCCTAATGTCGTCCCACGTCTCAAGCCTCAGCGTCGTATCGTAGCACGATGCTCATCTTGGCTTGTTCCAATACTTGAGTCGGTTTACGAACGACAGGCGTCGAAGACTTGTTGCCGGCGTCATGTCCAATAGCGTCTTGATGTTTGTTTACTCTTTAGACTCTTTTGTCAGTGTCGAAAAGTTGGAATCCCGACGCTTGGCGTCGGTTCGTATCTTATGAAGTAAGATGAGATATTTTAGGTTAGTTTGTGTTGTGTCAGGTTGTTTTAGAAGGAGTTATTCCGGATTACAATGTGTTAGTTTTGTTTTAGTTAAGACTGAATTAGTTTTGTTTACGTATTTCGGGTTAATGTTGCTTTTGTTGTGTCAGTTTAGGTTAAAATGGTTTAGCGTGCGAAAAAAAAGAAATATCGACAATTATATACCTCGCGATGTTCAAGTTGTGTTTTCACTGTCCTTTTGTATGTCGTCTCGATACCGGTCTTCGCATTACAAGGTGGCGTGTTTCCCCTATAATGTTTCATTGGCGTCGTTTTCCAGCATTATGTCATGTGTATTCCATTGATTCGGTATATTTTGTCGGCGTCGGGGAGCTCGAGTTCGCCAGAAATCACGAGTTACCCCTTTCCATGGCCTCCTTCATCAAAACAATCGATTATGGAGACAGCAAGGACCTCTCAAACGCTGTTAAACTTGTACCAGACTACACGGAGGTACAACCCAGAAGACAACCATCTTAGTCTTCATGCATTTTCATGCAGTAGTAAAACAAATTTGAATTTACATGAGCTCAGCGTTTCATCGATATTCTGAACATCATTCCTTTATACAGCACGTTCTTGTTTACTTCATTAAACTTATTCATAAACCGTAAACGTTTTGCGGAGAACAAAGGCGAATCAGCATTAATTAAGACTGCTGTAATTTAAACTACGAACACTCACACGTGGCACAACAGCGGTCGTGCGTCATTTCATAATTTCTGAACGTCATATATTTGATATTTGAAACAATGTCGAGAAGAAGGAGGTACTAAATGAATTATGCGTTATAATCAACTTCCAGAACAGAACTCTAACAACCAAAAATGGAACTTAAGCTACTTAGAATTCCACTGCTCGTTTCATACGGTTAGAAGCTCACAAATTTATCTTAACAGACGTTTAACGAGTTCCGTCCAATACAAAGCTTGCATATTAAACAGAATACGTTAACCCTGAACACAGATAGATGGCATGCTGCTGAGAAGACATCTATACCCAAGACTAATACACACTGAACACAGCAACTAAAGAATAACAGAAAAATAATAACTGACCACTATCAAAGTAAGTGTGTTACTGTTTCTTATTCAGCAATCCTCATGTTGTTACCTTTAATAAACATAACAGGAAGTCACAAAATATTTCACAGCCTACTAAATGATGTAAAATTTTATAGACATTAAGAACTCTTAATAATAATTTCTAACAGGTGCATTATACTTCGTAATCTTTACAAATATTTAAAGCCTTTCGATGTTCTGTGTACGAATAAAGTGACACGATAGCTTTTCGTTAGTATAAAACCAATTCCTTACCAAACCTGCATTATTAACGAACAATAAATAAATGAAGAAGCAACACACTATGAAATATAAGTGATGAGTTATTTTAAGTAATACTTACCACGCTTCCTTTCTTAGAAGTAAGACATCCATCTGCAAAGGACAGAAAAATGCCATTAATTAGAGAAAAAAAATAGATTTTGCTTGTTGATTTATTTAAAATGCTTTATTTTTGCCACAATTTGCGACATTTCTCAAGTTTCGTTTGTCTTAACCAGTTCGAATTCTATATCAACACTATTAACCCCTTTCCCTTATTACAATGGTCTCTTAAGCCTCTACTTAGCGCTTAATTATCTTCTGCTCTTTCTGTGTACGTACGTCACATTTATACCTCTTAATGGTTATTTCAGTTGGTCAAACAGTTTAAAATATACAACGAAGTTAAATATGTGAAATAAGTCCGTTGTGTGTACACAATGAATGTAATATCATAACAATTCGTTTACACAGAAATGTTTTTTCATCACACATTACAGTAGTTCTATTAAATAGGCTGGATCTTGAAAAGCTAACAGTGGTTCACGTGGTCATGAAATTCATCGTCTCTTATGCAACCCGAAGAAACACAACAGTTCTTTTTAATAGTATTCAACATTGGGTCTTTATGGTTCACTCATTTTAATAAAATTGATGAGGCAATTTTTCATCTGCCACAATGCGGACGACGTCTTACAAAGAGTATGCCTATCATTACTATACCACACCACCACCTCCATAAGAAGAGGGATATAAGAACTAGAGGAAGCTTAAACTAATTCCTATCCCATCAAACACATTCCATTACCTTTACATTCCACTGCACTGCAATACAAGCCATTTTAACGCGGGAGTAATGGACCGTAACGAGTCTATCTGAAGAAGGGGGCAGAGCCCTGTAACAGAACAACGCGAACCGAACAGTTCGACAGCTAAATGGGGCGAGGGGAAATAAAGGTAACTCGGGAAGCCCACAGTTCTGTTGTAATGGATACAAGCAGAGACGCTACATAGTTTCCGCAGATCAGGTTAATGCGAAATTCCGAGTACGGACTGACGTCGACAACAGGAGGTCCGTGGCCAGAGTCAGCGGCCCGGGTGTGATTTCTAGTTCTCGCTCTGCAGGGCACTAACAGTGAACTGTACCAGTAACTTCCTGGTTACGTACACCTAATACCTCCTTGCATATCCTATTGCCTGGATATTAAGTCAAAATTCAAAATAACGCCACTTTGTACATATAGGTACAGCCATCTGCGATACTACACTGCGTAGTCTAGTCGATGTTTCAGAATCATTTACTGCTTCTATTATCAGGGCAAGAGCCACGGTGGTCTAGCGGTTAGAACGCTGGCCTTGTAATCCTGGGGTCTCGGGTTCGATTCCCGGCGGTGCCCGAATTTATAACTTGTGTTGGGCAAGGCCGTGGTCTAGGCAACACGGGGGCTTCCCCGGTTTCTCCGTGGCATCCCAACAATTACTCCATTCACACACAGAAGAAGGCAATGGCAAACCACTTCTGGATCATCTGCCAAGAACGTATATGAACAGGTCCCAGTCCGAGAAAAGGATGGAAGGATCCTGTCAGACAGAACACTAATAATAATAATAATAATTATCAGGGCGCAATATCCCAGAGGGCAGTCATCTTCGGTGTCGGACTGATTGCACACGGGAACTACTCAGAGTACAGATGAATGCCCAAAACTGATTATATATTTACTTTTTTCCTCTCTCACTAATTCTTTCATCCTTGATTTAAATATTAACACTAATAACTCACCTATGTAGGCCTAAACAGGATAAACTAATCGATCACAGTGACAGCAGAATCTGAGGCTAAGATCTTAGGCGTTTTTCTTTCTGACAAAAAAGGATAAAGTCCCAAGTTCTCACCTCAGAGTGGGAGACGAAACTAAGAACGAACAGAATATTTTGGACGGAGAAAAGCAGAAGAGTGAGTAGGTCATCTTACTGCAGATTTAACAAAACCGGAAATTACGTTTAAGCACAACACGCACTGGTCTTTTGTTTCTGACAGTGGGTCATTAGTAAATCTGACAAATTGTGTAACCTAACACAGTTACAGCTGGGCTGCTGCAGTAAAGAGGCCAAATGTCTTGTGTAAGTTCAAGAAGAGCCGTGGTCTGAGGTTTACCTCAACTTGAAGGACTGAAGGGGAACACAGCGGTTGCTAGGTGACACGAAACCTCGCTTGCCTGCAATTTGTTTCTCATTCAGAAGCAGCTTCTCCACTTACTGCCGATGAAATAAAATGAAACTTACATAACAAAAATACAACGTAATGAAAATAAGTAAGTCATGTCTTAGATGTGTGATGACAAGTGTCAAAATATTTATAAAACGGAATAAGTTTTGAACATATTATTTGTTATTTTGTACATCCACCTGATTTTGATGTTCATTTATTACATAAACGCTAAAGTCAAGAATTTTCAAGTCAGTTCACCAGACAAAAATGTTACTTTCTTTCTTTCCTTCTTTAGAATTATTCTGTTTTGCGTATTTTTAAAAAGTCTTTCAACCTTACAGCATTAAAATCGCTGCATTTCGAAGGATGGATCATCCTTCTTCTTCAGGTATAAAAACGCTGGATCCGATTAACAGATCTATTTAAATTCCGGTTTTAAGGCTTTCTTAAAAAAAAAAAAAAAGCAGACCATGGATAATGTCCAGGACACAGAAAGTAGTAATATAAGACTATGTCCAAATACATAGAAGTAATCAAGTAATGTAATAGTAATAGAAGGTTTGTTACAGTGTGATTTACGTAATTGAGTTCATAGTATGACGTCTAATTTGTAAAACTTTAACTTGTGAAAGACTGTATGGGCACAAATATAAGAACAATTTATCTTCGGTTTTTGGGTTCCTCTGCAGTGCTTTGTTTTCCTCGGATTCATGAATGTATACAAAAGTTCTCTGGATCTTAGAAGCAGACAGCAATAATTTGTATTCTCTTGATATCCACTCCAAGACGTCATCTTTAAATGACGTCACTACATTTCATGTTCTCCTTACTGAATGCTTCGGCACGCCTCCTTTTGGAGTTCTGGAGGCTCAGCACGAAATGCTAAAGGCCACACTCAACTTTGTATTGTTATATTAACTAAAAAGCTCACAATTCGTAGTTATTACCTTGTGTTGTTTTGCAGATTGAATTAATCAACGACAAAATGTCTCAGGCTTTCAGACGAAACTGGGTAAAGTTAAATGCACATATTTTGGTAAGACACCCTGAGGGCAAGCTACTTCGGACATGTAGGCGTGCGTTGGAATATATTAATATTATTAAAGTGAGTCTTAGAGCAAACAAACAGGGATATTACTATTACTGCTTATTTTATATATTACACAATCTTTTAGATGCTCTTACTGTGTTATATAATTTTTTAATTCAGTCAGGCGTCTGTCACATAATGCTAAACACATTTCCTTCCCCAATTTTAAAGTATACGGGAAGCTGGTCCCCTTCAGGCTGTATTTTCCCCCCACCCAATAAAGTGTTTTGTTTCAGACTGCAATAAGAATAATATTAAATTTTTCAGGACTAATCTCTCATCCAAGTTTCATTGCCCACACCAGACTTTGTCCTGAAGACTTTAATATGACATAAAATTAATTTGTAATTTATTGTTTGTGTGCGCGTGTATATGTACGTAAGTTAATAAATAATATAATGCAATGTACCATAAAATCTGTAGACTAAAACTGTCGGGAAAATTTAATGAAGGACTAGACCTTTTAAAAAGAAGTTCCAATTTCGGTTGAACGTTTTCATTCAGCGGTAAGATGGAATATTCATGGGTACAACCTAAGCCAGAATAATCCAATTATATAAGATGTTGTGTGGATATATAATTATAAAGTCGGAAACTGAAATTAAATTCTCTTTCTTAGAAACAAACACTCATGTATCCAGTAATGGAAATATTTGCTCTACGTTTGTTCTTATAACAATCTGCCGAATACATTTAATATTTGTGTAATACTGTAATCCGATTTTGAGTACGTAAAGATTAATTAAAAACGTTACTGATACTTCATTTGTTTTGCTGATTATTCATCACAGATAAAAAGTCACTACAGCCAGAGCCCTTCAGATAAAATTAAAAATTGTCATACTGCACACAAATAATTTTTTTTAAAAATTATTGAAGGCTTTAATAACGCCAATATTTTATACCAGTTATGTGCTACGAGGAAGTCAGAAAATGTTACGATCTTTTATTTAAATATCTTGCAAAATGTGGTTAGTTAAACTATTTTACATTTATGTTTTATTTTGAACATAAGACACATTAATATTAACGTAACTGTAAAACGTTTAATTCAAAGGCCTAACTGACAATTTTATTATTGACTAACTGATGAGTGCTGACTTTACTTTGAACCCTGCGGGGAAGTGTTCTAATTCCTTTACAGAGATTGCCTTCTATCTGCATCTTCAACAACCCCCCTTCATAAATCCAATTTGTATTAAGTACACTTATTTAGCTTCAGTACAATATCGATATCCCTGTAAACAACACTACTTACTAGACAGATCAATGTCTCATTCAACTGCTGGCAAGTTAATTAAAAGTAACACTTCGCTTTGAGTTGATAATGCGCCATGTAGTTAAAGTAACATTCTCATACTATGCACTAGATAAATCGATTTCAAACAGGCTTTCGTACGATTACATTTTTCGCATGTAGAATTATTAGTGAAAATTTCCTATCCTGCCATCTTTCGCCACTATAAGCTAATCATTTCCAACAAACTGATAACTGATTTTGTGAGTTGTGACTTTATAAAATAAAATATGTTAGCAAGTACTTAAAATTTCACAAAATTATATCTCCAACTAAAACTGGTTTAAGCACAGGGAAAGATTATAACAGGTACGAATGGGCTGTCGCAAGTACGTTAAACCTTTAACCGTTCCCTAAACTTAGCCAGCTTAATCCTTCCCGCACCATTACACCGTTTCTCACAGTCTATGTTACCTCCTGGTTCCACTGGTTATTCCAAGACCGAGAGTCTGTGTTAGCATTTAGCAACTCGAATAAACTTCCATCCGTCAAGTCACCGCTCTTTTGAGAATTTC